TTATAACGTTACAAACAAATGTTGGCTGCAATAGGTAGTCTTTACCCAAACTACAAGGTTTAGGCCGACCTCGGAGACTGGGAGTCCACCTACAAAGTCCAAAACCTAATGTCGTCAAATTATCACGATATACGACGTTTGCAATTACTTTTTGATTAAAGACGGAGGAATATGACACATACAAGATTGACTAAACTTCGATTCATATTTTAATGAACTCCTAGCGATGTCCTATATGCCCATCATAATCGTCAGCAGATATTAACCGTGATGCTACCATAGCTACATTAACACGCGTAATTATGCTACTTACATTCTTCGTTCTACAAACAATCTGTCCCCTGCTAGTTACTTTCTGGACATCATTAAATCAATATATATAATCATGTAAGATCTCGTGTAAAATTTAAAGATTGTTTATCTGATTTTTTGCTAATGATATCGGTTTATTGCAAGGCGAAATTTTGTCGCCTATACTTTTTTCCATGTACGTTAACGACTTTGAACCTTTTTTTTTTTTTTTTTTTTTTTATCGCAAAATGTAACCAACGATACGATTTTGAAGAATTAGGCCTATTCCTTATGTTATATGCTGACGATTTAGTCTTGCTTTCGGAAACTGAAGGCTTGCAGGAATTACTGGATAATCTTGCTGTTTATTGCGAGCAATGGAAACCAACTGTTAATAGTGAAAAAACAAAAGTTGTGGTATTCCGTAAAGGCGGGAAAATTCGAAATAATGAAACATGGACTTACCATGGAAAAAAGCTTGATTGTGTTGACCAATTTTCTTACCTCGGTGTACACTTAAGATACAATAACAAGTTCAATAACGTACAGAAACAATTGTCAGATCAAGGACGTAAAGCCATGGTTGATTTATTTTCTAAGTGTTCAAATATGAGTCTTAATTATAATACCATGCTGTGTTTGTTTGATACCTTCGTTAGTATCATATTGTTCTACTCTTGTGAAGTGTGGGGTTCGACCAAAGGGTTGGACATTGAAAAGGTACATTTAAAATTTTGTAAGAAGTTACTTAAAGTTAAACAATCTACAAATAATGTAATGGTATACTGGGAACTTGGTCGTTTCCCTTTAGAATATATAAGAAGGTATAGAATAATTAAATATTGGTTTAAACTGCTCGACACGAAAAATTGTATTTTGAATACTGCATATGATTTTTTATTAAAGAAAACAACCGGTGTTTGTTTCAATAGGGGACACTATTTAAAAGAGTTGCTATGTACTCTTGGTTTCGGTGAGGTATGGCTTAGCCAATCACCATCGAACACTAAATCCATTTTACCTTGTATATGTCAAAGAATGTTTGACATAGCACAACAATATTTGAGAGGTCTATTAGAGAGATCCTCGAAACGTTTTTTTATATAAGCATATTGCAAACCATGTTTCCATCCAGTTTTATTTATCTAAGTACATGCCTAAGAAATATACAATATGTTTAACAAAACTTCGTATGGCTGCACATTCTTTAGCAATTGAAACCGGTCGTTATAGAAATATCGAGCGGAATATGAGATATTGAGCAATTTGTAAGTCGACTACTGAAGTAGAAGACGAATATCATTTTGTATTAATATGTAATATGTACAACGACTTAAGAAGTCAATATATTAAAATATACTATTGGCAAAAACCTTCAATGTTTAAACTAATACAGTTATTGTGTGTCAATAACAACAAGAAATTAAGCCGTCTCGGCAAATTTATTTTTGAAGCAAATAAGATAAAAGCTGTATTTCTTTAACTCGTGCTCCACTGATGTCTTGCTGTTTCACATTATTATGTATTGTATGTAATATGTAATATGTACTCATGAGCCGTAAGGCCTACAGTCAATAAATTGAATTGAATTGAACTTGGTGTCGTTCTACAAACAATCTGTCCCTTGCTTGTTACTTTCTGGGTGTCGTTCTATAAACAATCTGTCCATTGCTTGTTACTTTCTGGGTGTCGTTCTACAAACAATCTGCCCCCTGCTTGTTACTTTCTGGGTGTCGTTCTACAAACAATCTGTCCCTTGCTGGTAACTTTCTGGGTGTCGTTCTACAAACAATCTGTCCCTTGCTGGTTACTTTCTGGGTGTCGTTCTACAAATAATCTGTCCCTTGCTGGTTACTTTCTGGGTGTCGTTCTACAAACAATCTGTCTCCTGCTTGTTACTTTCTGGGTGTCGTTCTACAAACAATCTGTCTCCTGCTTGTTACTTTCTGGGTGTCGTTCTACAAACAATCTGTCCTCTGCTGGTTACTTTCTGGGTGTCGTTCTACAAACAATCTTTCCCTTTCTGGTTACTTTCTGGGTGTCGTTCTACAAACAATCTGTCCCTTTGCTGGTTACTTTCTGGGTGTCGTTCTACAAATTATCTGTCCCTTGCTGGTTACTCTCTGGGTGTCTTTCTACAAACAATCTGTCCTCTGCTGGTAACTTTCTGGGTGTCGTTCTACAAACAATCTGTCCCCTGCTGGTTACTTTCTGGGTGTCTTTCTACAAACAATCTGTCCCTTGCTGGTTACTTTCTGGGTGTCGTTATTCAAACAATCTGTCCCCTGCTTGTTACTTTCTGGGTGTCGTTTTACTAACAATCTGTCCCTTGCTTGTTACTTTCTGGGTGTCGTTCTACAAACAATCTGTCCCCTGCTTGTTACTTTCTGGGTGTCGTTCTACAAATAATCTGTCCCTTGCTGGTTACTTTCTGGGTGTCGTTCTGCAATCAATCTGTCCCCTGCTGGTTACTTTCTGGGTGTCGTTTTACTAACAATCTGTCCCTTGCTTGTTACTTTCTTGGTGTCGTACTAACAATCTGTCCATTGCTTGTTACTTTCTGGGTGTCGTTCTACAAACAATCTGTCCCCTGCTGGTTACTTTCTGGGTGTCGTTCTACAACCAACCAATAACTTCCTTCAGTGAGTTGCAGAATGTTTGTGAAAAGAATGGTTCGTTCGTGTAAGAATGATCCTTGGCCTGTCATCCAGACAAATGCCATTGTGCTCTGTATATTATTGTCATTCACAGTAAGTAATGCCACTGTATTCTGTATATTATTGTCATTCACTGTAAGTGATGCCACTGTTGTCCTTATAGTTTTGTAATCCACTGTAAGTTATGCCACTGTGGTCCATATAGTTTTGTAATCCACTGTAAGTGATGCCACTGTGGTCCGTATAGTTTTGTAATCCACTGTAAGTGATGCCACTGTGGTCCTTATAGTTTTGTAATCCACTGTAAGTTATGCCACTGTGATCCTTATAGTTTTGTTATCCACTGTAAGTGATGCCACTGTAGTCCTTATAGTTTTGTTATCCACTGTAAGTGATGCCACTGTGGTCCTTATAGTTTTGTTATCCACTGTAAGTTATGCCACTGTGGTCCTTATAGTTTTGTAATCCACTGTAAGTGATGCCACTGTGGCCCGTATATTTTGTAATCCATGATAATTTATGCCACTGTATTCATTCTTTATATTCATGTAGATACACGATTATTGATCTCACTGGATTTCGTATAGTTTTGCAGTCCACAATTGTGGATGTATATCAGTTCAGTAATCCTTGATTAAAGCTGTCATTAGTTCTGATTAGTTTTGTACTCCAGGATAAGTGGTGTAATTGATTTAGGAAAAGTGCTTTTCACTGTTATTGATGCACCTGTGCCGTGAATTGGAATGGTTCTGTTGTCTTTGAGTATTAGTGCTACTGAGCTCTGTGCAGTCCAAAGAATCATTGATGTGACCTAATTTAACATATCATTGATGACTCTGTTTTCTGTATTCCACGGCTATTGGCGTACACATATCAGGTTTATTTCTGTACACCCACACGTTTTATTGATGTCACACGGTTCTATAGTCCTCACTTATCAATGCCACCGCGCTCTTTATAGTTCTGCAGTCAACGAGTGTTGATGCCACTGTGTTCTGTGTAGTTTGGAATTTCAAGATAATTGATGCCAACGAGTTCTGTATAATTCCGTAGTCCATAGGTGTTGGCGCCACTGTGTTCAATTGAGTTTGGAATTTCACGATAATTGATGCCGCTGAGGTAGGTATCTTTCTTAGGTCCACTATATCGATGTCGTCTTTGTTCTATTGGTTTCGTAGCCAATGCATATATATTTATGCAACTGTGTTTATATTGGTCTGTATTCCACGACCATTGATGCCACCGAGTTCTGTATAGTTCTGAAGTCAGCGATATCGATACCGTTCTCTTCTGTTAAGTTCTGCTGTCCTTGATCAATGATGCCACTTTGTTCTGTATATGTCTGAAGTCCACGACTACTGATGCCTCTGTGATCGGTGTGCTGTCCACACTTAGCGGGATGGCTGTATAACGTAGTCACAAAGCTATTCAGTCAACGATTAATTTAGGCATGGCGTTCTATAATCTTGTCGAAATGTGTTAGATGTGCTAATATCGAAATAGAAACATTTTCGAAAATAGTTAATGAACACGTGTGGTATTTTAATTGTACTTCGATTATAACAAAATTCCGATACTTTTGGAATGTAGAGAGTCATTATTTTAAATTTCATTAGTATTTTTCATCCTTGTCGTTTATGAAAGAAGTTGGTGACTATGACTTACTGTATATTATATGATGCATTTTATTTTTTATATGGCGCTAAGGGTATTACATCATGGTCACGTGTGGTTCACATACCATGTACGACACATTGAACGAGCAAGACCAGGTATTGTCTTGAAAAAGAACTTCACTCTTTAAGCGATTATGATAGTTCTTAATTGTTCTTAATAGAACCGAACGTGTTTGTCCCATGAGCACGGAGATGCTGACTTTTGGTTGCTGTGCTAGTGTTTTAACTTTTCAATAAAATGATACAGGGATCACAATGTTTTGTAACAAAGAAGGCGTAAACTGTATATATACATATCGTGTGAAATATTGGTGTAATTGTGTTCTAAATATATAATTTATGTTGGGTACATAATGAAACAAACGACAAGACAGTGTTATGATAAAATGCTAGGTTTTTATTTCAAGTTAATTTAAGATAGGGACAATGACACAAACAAGTTTTTGTTCATTTTTGCAATTCGTCTACATCTTATGAAGAGATCGGCGATACAGTTTTGCATTGTGGTGATTGATAGGGATGGTACATATTGTCTGAGGAATACATACCATCGGATCAGACTGACTTTTAAATGACTAACGGTCTATGTTGAAAACGAGGTTGCACGTCACTTCCTGTGTGTGTGGGTGACTAAAGATAGACTGACTGACGATTGGTTGATTGATAAGGGGTGTGGTTTAACAGTAAGTACAGCTGTTACTGATTAGAGAATTTTGGTTTGCTGTTGTGAATCGCAGGTGAGAATCGGATGACGCCATAATACTACTTTACGTAGTGAGAACACTAGTGGAAGGGACTAAAGCGTTGATGGGTATACAACAGTAATAGTAATCATACGGTAGGCTTATCAGACTCGGCAAACTTTCTACCATCACACAGACAGCATAATGACAAACCAAGAGGTCAAAGTTCAAATTAACATGTTTTTGTGAAACCAGCCAATTTTGTTTTGACGTTAGATATACTGGTGACACAATTCTGTATTCCATTCGTGCCGATTAAATGTAATTAATGTTTAAAGGGTGATTCCAGAATCAACAGTTAGCGAGCCCATACAATTATATTTCTCCATTCACATGTATCACCATTATATAGACAGAAATTCATAACAGGCTTTTTTTTTCAGGTAACTCCACATATTTATCACCAAAGAAGAAGTTTTTCAAGGTAACACCGCGTATTTATCACCAAAGAAGTTTTTAAGGGAGATGATTTTGATTTCATCTTCTCTGGTTTGCGATAAATATGAGGTAAGCGGCATTAATAATGTATTTATACTGTTTGTAAAATGTTTCGTGTACTTTTAACTTTTCATGACTTGACATTATAAATGGTTAAATGAAGTCTCTGCCAGTGATGTCACACATACCATTCATTTTTGTCACAATTAATTTGAAGGGAAACTAAAACATTTTCCACACATGTGGTGTTTTTATTTGTAGGATTTCTAGCAAGATACGAATATTCAGCATAAACAAATTTAATATAAACATCGAATTAGCATAATGACAAACTAGCAACTGAAATAGTCCTCCGTTAGCACTCCAACGCTCGGGTGATCGCCCCTTACATCAAACAGGTCACGGTTGTCATAGAAACGGTATACATAGATATATATATATTCAATCGGTGAGAAAAGAAAAAGTCTATCATCATAGTCACATTTGACCTTTGACCTTTTAGTAAAATCAACAACCGTAGCCAACACATACTCAAGCAAAACAATATTTACGCAGATACCAAATATTCATTTAGAAATTAAATCCAATTCTTAAGATAATATTCATTACCTACTTTAATTTCATAAGTCACGCAAGGGGGAGTAAATTCACATAAGGTCTGGTTCGAAATTCAGCAAAAGCAATCAAGATCTAAATCAAAAGCTCACATAGTTATTCAAATTTTAGATAATGCACAATCCTTGGCAAATCAGATGACTTTAGGTGTAGTTAAATCTTGATCACAAATTTGTTGAATTAAGACAATATTTGTCAATGTACAAACGAATGGAAGGTAAGATAACTCAAAGTTGTGCGCTGGAGACTACAAATTAATTAATTACTTCCTTAAAGGAGAAAAAAACTTCTGTTAAATAACAGAAACGGTAAAAACATACAAGTTATTTGTGTAAGTTTAAAGTCACGTGTGTCGGTCTTGTTGCCTCCGTTCACGAGAAGCCACATTGAGGAGGTGTACTAGTTACACGTGCTATCAGGTATAATATTACATCTTCTTAATACCAAGCAAAATGTTACTCGTGCAAATATCGTATTAGTATATTCAACGTTAAAATATAGGAACACCACTGTCGACATTCAAATTAAAATTAAGTATAGAGACATTTTTTGTGTGGATAAATTAATGAATAATTATTATGTTATGAATCTATAATCCAAATGATCATCAATAAACCGATTAAAAAGCACTACTCCAATGGAACAGCGGTCTCCCATGGCTAAACATAAATATACTAGTTTTGCGTCGACTTCTTACAGATATACACGGAACAAGTAGAAAGATATTTTGCAGGGTTTTTGTTGGTTAAACGTTTTTATTAATTCAGAGAAAGCAGAAGAAAGTGAACTGTGATATAAAGCGATATGATGTACTATATTATCATAACAATCATTCGATCTGTTTTTGTAGTCTATAATGAATAACAAACACAGAAAAGAAAAATAGACTAGGTTTTCCACACACATTTAATAAACCCTATCGATCGCAACAGAGGAAAGGCACACGCGCACATCCTCCGGCCCTGCTATATCCCACCTTTCATAACACATCGACTAGAATCACAATACAATCAGATATTGCACTCGACAGTTCTATAATATACCAATAATAAATAAATAAGCCGACCGACCAACCGGTCGACGCATGCGTGATGACCGACCAACCGGTATACACGTGCGTGATGACCGACCAACCGTTCGACGCATGCGTGATGACAATAAACTCGACAGAAGAGACTGGCAGTTGGCGTGCATGATATTACGTACACCAATATATATATATTATAATACAGCATTTGAGCGTTTATGTCATACTAACATAAAACAGCTTACAGTGCCAGCGTCTTAATCAACATACATCAGCAAGACTCGGTAAACACTATAGTAACATGTATAGATTTAAACATTTGGTCCCCGCCCCTCCCTAGCTTCAATTCTCTGAGCATTATCTGCCCAATGATTTCATATCGAACACAAAATCAAACTTGCCAACGTGTCTCTCCCTCATAAAAACCCAAAACGTCTGAGATGACAAGCCATATTTTTTTTTTCTGTGATGGTACTTTTTTTTGGACTGGCTGAGCATTTTTACGGTCGATGTATCTAGAGACATTGTGCGTTCTTACTTCAGAGACTCGCCCGTTAACACCCATAACTTGGGCCCTTCATTTAGTATCAAAGCATTTTTTCCACAAACAGTATAATGAACATGAATTGCACCTGCCCGTGATTTCACTCGTTCTCCACGAAATCAACGGAATCTCACGGTTCTTCCGGAAGTGAATTGTCTCTCTAACGTCAAAGACTTTTTAAAATCACTTCTCAAAAATATGCAGAACCGAGCACTTATTTGTACCCCAAACTGTAACTTGACTGAGAATGCCGGCATTCTCAAGATCACAACAATATGCTACTCACTTCTTTCATATTCATTTGCTAGGTTGATGTTTCAGTTGCAAAAACACAAAATAAAAAAAATCCCTGGCGCTTTTCAATTAAGTCGCTATGCGCATGACAGTTGGACTACGTAGATTTCATTAATTAGCATATTAAACATGGATGTAAAAATATGTTAATAACACGGTAGTCATGGAAACGGTAATGGCGGTAGACCTGTCAATTAATCATGGTCAAAAACATGCTTTATTTTCGGATAAGCTGATCTGCAAACTCTCATCAAAGAGGAGGTAACTCTCAACTTACTCTTGTCATGGAAAGGAAAACAGGACTGGCTATACACGTCTACCACTACAGTTACATGAGACATCAAGTTATAAAATGTATCTACCGTGTCCAGGACTGTTTGCATCAAAGGAAACAAGTACACTATGGTATGCCACAGGAGTAGTGTATTTAGGAGGTAAATATATAACTACCTGTACAGGTACAGGTACATCCGTTGAAGCAGAGATATGTAAATTCATAATTGTATGACATGGTGTCAGAACATATTAGAGCGCACCCTTATACTTAGAAACCCTCCCCACTCATTGTTATAATGTATAACATCATTCTGCAAGTACCAAGGGGCTAGCTTACCACTACTCCAGGCCCATAAAGGACGTCGCTTGGCAGGTCCTAAGAGGGCTAGATAGCCATTTTCTTTTTACAACTTTGGCAAACTGCCAAAGCTTTCATGGTCCCAATATAGGGTAGTGCTCGAGCAGGTGATTACGATTCATAAACTGGTTGTTATGAGTTACATAATACTTAATTTGTATTGTATATATTTCCATTTATGTCAAGATTTAAAAAAAGGATAAAACTTACAAATATCCACAAATATACACTATATTTTATCTTGCTTATAAATATGACACAAACATACACTGAACTAGAGAATGTGACTGCAAGCTACGGTACAGGCACTCAATCCATTCACTTACAGAACACATGGACAGATGTGTTCTTATACAACAAGATTTAAACATGCACTTGATAAAAGAGAAAAACGAAGCACTTTATCCACAGAAAGATCCCATCTTTTATCACCCGTTAAGTTATATCTAGTTTCATATTTAATATTCTACAGTTTTAGAATTTTCATCTAAACGTATTCATATTAAAAAATTATCATTACGAAACAATGAAGAAACATGGAAGTGCTGAAAGAATAGAATGAATTAGGTTTGTCTATAGGACCACGCATTTATAGCAAATATTCCATCACTTTCGTTTTACATATAGTTTACACAATTACAGGTACGGTGTGCACAGCTCGAGTGGGTGATGGTTAAATAGCAAGACAAACGTTGGTGTTTGTCCACATGTAAGTGAAGTAGCCTTTTACAAACTAAATAATACCTTTTATTAGATACATGTATTTGTCGCTTGTTCACAGGCCTACACGTTTCTCCCACCGCTATCACACAATACAGCATATATATGTTATATATATATATATAACCATGTGACGCTGCAGAGTTGTATCAAGGCTGAAAGAAAAGAAAACCATATATATTGATCGTTACGAGAATATTAAAGTTCTCATGCAGAAGCCTACAGGAAGATGATACATCCACGTCTGGTCCTTTTTGTTATTTTCTTCTTGAGTTGTCTATGTGCTATGTAGTTTGTTTTATTTGGATATCGCATCGCATACGTCATTTCCGGTGTATGACGCCGTGCTATTAATCCAAGATGGCTGTGACATATTGGTATTGATTACCGATTTTTGCCTCAACGCCTGTCTATGAGGAACCACGTAGTGTTCGATCAATACTGACTTCATCAGGCTACTGAGCAGTTCAGAGAACAGATAGCGACGGTAGCCTAGTAGTATGTTTCCTACTCTCTATAGCAACGTGTCACTCTGCACTCAGAGCGAGAGAGAGGGAGAGAGAGCAGTCCAATGCACATAGTCGTTCACAAGAGATATCAATCTCTCTAAATGTGTCACCCCGCTCTACATGTGATATCACACCGTATTTGTGTCGACAATAGATTCCTACTGTTGTCAACCGATCTGTCACTGCAAGCAGTCAGGCATCGCCATAAATGGTATTTTGTTCATAATTTTATTTTTAAAATTAAGGTCACATATTCTTACACTGCACATAAAAAATCTCAACACATGCTCACTTCCGATCTGTATATAGATGCTCTAGGAACAGTCCCAGTGACCTCGCCGGGTCCCAGTCCTAGGAACAGCCCCAGTGACCCCGCCGGGTCCCTGTCCTAGGAACAGCCCCAGTGACCTCGCCGGGTCCTAGTCCTAGTCCTAGGAACAGTCCCAGTGACCTCGCCGGGTCGCAGTCCTTCTAGTACAATCCGCATCCACGCAGGTTATTGGCTATGATTACGTCAGTGACGGCGTCGAATACAAACTGGATATTGTTGGTGTCCGTCGCGCACGTCTGATGGCAGTAGATCTCTTTCGATGAACTCTTGTTCTTAGCCTCGAACTGAGCCTGAATGTAAGCAGCTGCCTCCTCATATGTTTGGTTTCCTGTAAACACAACAGGAAACTTTAAGTGGTAACAAAGTTTGATTAGACCATCGGGTGATGAATCATCAGCAAAGACTCGGGTATTACCCAAGTTCTAAACCTTGGACAGACTTTTCTTTTATTACACACACATGCATCAAACAGTCCTATAAGGATGGAACATTGTTTAATTAATCATTCCACGTCGCATTTGCAAATAAAGGAAATGGAAAGTGTTAAAACAAATTCAACAACGTAATAAAACCGTCACAACTATAATTAAAAGTCAAAACAACTCGAGATTACCTAAAAACACGCGTGTTTACAACAAAACTTTTTTTGCTGAAAATAAAAGTTGAGAGGATCTAGTCTATCTAGTAGACTGTATATCGTGTTACAGTTACAGCTACAAAGTTAATAGTATAATCATCTACCTGCTTAGCAGTATCTATTATGTATTGTGCATGGTGGTTGTGTAAAGGTATACGTGTCGTTGAGTAATCATTATTTACTATGGAGTTATAATTTAATCTACTATACACAATTCCTGTGGAAATCCACTTTTATTGATGGACTCTTTTCTTTTAGAAATTATTTCGCTGCTGTATCAGCCAATCAAAACCGACGTTACAACCGGCGACGTCATTTTTTTACGTTAGGGCCGATAACATAAATTTTTAAGCCAATGAAAATACTTGTTACAAGCAAAATTAAATTATAAGAAATTAACATAAATTTGACTGAAACATGAGACCTAAAATCTGGTGAATTTATTAATATATCATCATTTCTAAAATGTGAATGATATACACAATGCATCTATAGTTTTTGGTAGTTCACATGACTAAAATAAGTATATCACATTTCAAATGTTACTACTCACAAACTATTTATTTACATCATTAACAACAAACCATTATGTTTACCTGTCTAAATATGATACCAAATTCAAGACTTATTCAGTTGAATATCGGTGGTCTTTTATTGCAACATTAAAATATACCTGGCAAGACGGAAATTGTATTTTATCCTTTATTTATATAACACAGCAAATGGTATTAGTTTTTGAATTGCACCAACAGTAAACTGGTCATATTTTCCAATTTCTAGTATGTACTTACAACAACACTGGGTAAAACTACTTATGTAATGGCATGTAGTTTGACATAGGTCGAAACGTATCAACATATATCGTTATCAAATTAGGTATTGTATAACCCTTATCACTAAACCAATATTTCCTTCCAATATTAAAACCCACCTATCTTATGGTATGTAATAACTCTATTATATATCTCTCTATAATGTTTAAGTCTGCAAAGTAAAGGAAGAAATATATTTTGTACTGAAATACTCTTCGCTCAAATGGCAGTAGAGTGAACTAGTTGTGAATATAACTGCTGGTAGTTAGAATCATAAAGACCATCGGTACTTGCCTGTGTACTCATTGAAACAGATGGTCAGTGATGACTTCTTGATCTTCTCCTCGAAGAGATCCTTCTTGTTCAAGAACAGAATGATGGAGGTATCTGTAAACCATTTGTTGTTACAAATATTGTCGAAGAGCTTTAGACTCTCTTGCATTCGATTCTGAAATGATAAATTGATATGAGTTAACATGGTCGATAGACGAAGATACACGAGTCAAACTCTATCCCTCAATAACAAAACAACGCATACTAATGAAGGTACAAAGACATTGCCAGGCAACGATGTAACTACGTAGTTACCCAAAACAGTGTTAGTCTGAGGTGATGACGTCACTGGTTTCACTTTCCCAATATGTCAATGTCTCTCATTTCCAAAATAAATTTATCAGAAAAAGAACAGCAGATTTATGACAAATGTTGTTCGTAAAGTTGGAGGACAGGCTCAACACTATTTACAAAACAATGTCTTGTTACTGGGTCAATTGTGTGAATATTTTCTGGAAATAAATAACGTTTAAATGGAGATACACGATATTTGAGATGTCATTATTCCATGTAAATAGGATATGTTAACAGTATCCGTATATAGATAAATAAAGGACGATCTGTGTTATATTTACTGACAAGTATTGAAACAACCAATGTACTCAACACACAAACAAATCAACCGGAGAAATAAAAACATATACAATATCAAATTTTGGCATTTGACGAATACATAATCAGCAATAAATATATTTTGGAATATATATTGTCCGTGTATACACACTGTAATCGTGTGTCGCTCATGTTGTGGTAGTAGGTCGTCTTTGTTGTGATAAGACGATTGTAATAGTTATTTTACAGGCAGATTATAGCTTATATTATAATATCACTGACAGAGAAATTCCGCAAACATAACTAATATTAAACGACGAGTGTGATGATGATCGCGAAACACAACTAAATGAAATAGGATACATTTCACAGACTTCTGTAGAGGGATAACATGTGACATCTGCTCTAGGGAGAGGACACAAATGTCTCCACGATCCGCCGATAGCAAAATCGGCTATAATAGACATGTTACTTTATAAACAGGTTACTTTCTGATATCACATAAAGTTTGGGTATTTTTAAGATGCTAGGTATAGACAGATATTTTTAACACGGTTTCACCTATCAGGTTCGTTCTAGTCACGTGACTGTCCACTTTACTTACTGTTGTTTCGTCCTCGTGTAAGACCTGGTCATACTCGCTCATAGCAACACAAAATATAATTGCTGTTACATCTTCAAAACAGTGTATCCACTTCTTCCTTTCTGACCTTTGACCTCCTACGTCAAATAATCTAAAAATAAACAACCAATATGTTATTTTCTACATTTACAAAATGCATTCGGTTTTGGATTCGTAAAGGAAACTTTAAAGTGTGAACAATAATTTAAGGGGCAAGGAGATTGCACACTTAGGCCTTGCCAAAAGGGGAATGCTTATGGAATACCAAAATAAATCTTGTACATCGTTACATCAAAATAATTTGCAAATAATATTAGTTTATTTTTAGGCATTGTTTCACATTATTTACAGACAACAATTAAAATGAATAAAGAATAATATTTTTTTAAGATCAAAAGTTGATAACGGGCATTTGAGAATTACATCAATATGATTCGTAAGTAGTTGTCAATTCTGATGCCAAGTACATAGTTGCCAATACCTGTGATTATAAGAGATTGTACTTACTTGAAATTTAAATTCTTAAATGAGAAGTGTACTTCTACTATGCCAGTCGTCTTAACCCTTGTCCTTAATATATCTTGTTCTGTAGGCATATAATCTTTTGATCCTAATCGGTCTAAGTCATCTAAAAAGCTGTAAAAGAGAAATAGCGGACAAATACAACAAACTGCCAAACATAAGAAAAAGCTTCCCTGATTGCAACAACCAACAAATTTAGTATTTATGATATATTTTGTTAAATTAACTCAAATCATATCCATTCATAATGAATACAAAAAGCAATGCAATCGTAAACTGTTTCGTTTTATGTTATTGAGCATTTCTCTATAGGATAGTTTTATTAGATATACTCTATCCAAGTTTAACACAACTAAGAGAGGAACAACTGACCACATACGCATCAAGTGCATTTTTATTGTAATTTAATTGAGCAAGTAAAGTCTGCTTCATCAATTGTTTTGAATATCAAAGACTAATTGTAACCGTAATCAGGGGATGCATTTTGTCAGTTCTTGTTCTAATCTAGGTGACAATTATAAAACCACGACGTGCTAACCCAACCAGTAGGCGGTCACTATCATGGACTCTGTGGTTGGTCACTGGCATTGGAAGCAAATGGGTCTCTTGTGTAGACACTTATGCTTTAGGACGATTTACATATGTATTAAAAGAGTTGGAAGTGATTCTTCTTATTCTTTGTTTTACGGGGGCTCCATCAATGGGATGTTTATGTCCTCGGAGGTCCTATTGCAGAGGCGTGAAAAGGGGGGTTATTTACAGTGATTATTTATTTATTTTTTTGTGTTTTTTTTGTGCAAGGTATAGATAAAAGATAAAACCTGGCATATGTTTAGCGTGTGATGAGGGCTTCAAGGGCTGCATAGGGTATGTGTGCCTTGAAGTCCTCTAGATTGTGTCATTTACAGTATTATTCAGAGATCAATGGGCGGGTCTAGCGAACAGTTGTCATCTTTCCTGGGAATTGAACGATTGAATCATGTTACCGGGAATATAGACACACGGAAATAAGTCCAATGCATATTTCTATCTCATCTGTAGATTGATGACATAAACATTTAACTTATGTACGACTAAACTGATGTACCTATTAACTAGAGTACATTTCTTTAAGCGTTCATGTTCACTAAAGTACATATTTAACACCCCTCCAAAACCAAACGTGGATATCGTATTTTAAACAAGTTATGTAGTCTAGGTGATTGTATGCGAGTAGCATTCAGGCTTAGATCACCTACATGTTTTTGTAAGAATTGTTAAAAAGTATGCCACGCTCATCGCACAGTTTCGAAATACATGTACGTATTAATGGATCTAATTTTAATTCTAACTTTTCAAATAATTCGAGTAAACCATATTTCCTTCTGGGACGAGCAATTTGAAGAAGTCTAAAACCTTATTGATTGACAATTAAAACGGTCTTGCTGAGACGAGTGAGCATTAAACACGGTCTAAACTCTGTAAGGTTGACAATGTTTATTTTGCGGAGTCCAAGGTCCATCCTCTTTTGAAGCAATAAGTAACAATAGGTAAATGACCGAGTATGCGAGCATGTGTCGGGCTGATTGAATACTTATTTAATAAGTCAATGAATACACATTTGATTGATAATGAATATATGCAAGTTTACACTGAAATTTCATAAAATAATAACTAGAGATTCCTGTAACGGTTATAAGGCTAAATAACGTGACATCTACATCTCTACACGTTTTTCTCTCAGATCCCCACTCGTCCCACGGGTGCCAACACCGTGCAGTAAACTCAGGTTATTACGATAATAACCGTTACTACTTATAATCCCACACACCGTCAATCAAGCCTGCTTGTTATAGGCATCTGACCTTCTAATGATCGTCATCACATGTGTCGTCATTTAGAAGCATGCAACTTCTGTGACCTTCTCATGAAATGAATACCTTTTGGCCTACTACCGCCAGCTTAATAAATTTGTAAGTGAAATGTGCAGTCATTACGTTGATGTTACGTGTGTTACGATGATATAAATATCTTATTGCATTCATTTCCAGAAAGAAACATGTTGATACACTACTCGATGTGAACCGCCGTGTGATAATGATCACGCGAGGTCACATGGTTATGATAACGTGATGTTTAACTTCTCGCGCGCTTTATTACCAAACAAGAAATTGTCATTTCTTAATATCAAAAAATGAAAGCACATAGCTCTTTTTAAATTGATATCTAAGAAAATTACGTGTTAATTGTGAATTCAGCGGTTAAGTCAGTTCGATGATGAATGTGTGTTTTGTATTAACATGCATGTGTTTGATTAAAACGCATTATCTTTGGATATTTGTTGACCACTTTAAATTAAATGAATAAAGATCGATCTACATTATAGTAATAAAAAGAGCCGTACTATTTCGCTGAATCGTTTAGCTGATATTCATTTGACCTCCCGAAGCACTCCTGCACGCCGGTATCTGTCCACAACCGTTTCATGGCGGCGAGAAGTTCCTCTGAGAATGGTTCAGTGTCCTCCATTCTAGCTATCACATCCAGGACTATCTTTGCATCAGACTGAAACATATAAAGAAATGGCCACCTTACAAAAAGTCGTATTTTGTAAGACAAATCAGTAGGCTCTAATTCAACTATACAAATCAGTAGGCTCTAATTCAACTATACAAATCAGTAGGCTCTAATTCAACTATACAAATCAGTAGGCTCTAATTCAACAATACAAATCGATACAAAACGATTCAAAATACAAATCAGTAGGCTCTAATTCAACTATACAAATCGATACAAAACGATTCAAAATACAAATCAGTACATGGCCTTTTAAATTGACAAATCTGTACATATCTGTTCAAATAAACAAAATAGTACGTAACGTTTTAAATATAAAAATCAGTGAACTAGTAAAAATACAAATAGGTACAAAATTAAAAAAAAAAACTCACAAATGAGGCCATTATGTTTTAAATATAAAATCAGTGCATAACCTTTTTAAATAGTGCATACAGTAGTAAATACCCAAACCTGTGCACGTGATATTGAATTGACATTCGGTACATAGCATTTTATAGAGACCAATTAGTGCATAACGTTTCAAACATACAAACCAAACACGGAATTTCTTTCAATAGACAGACCAATGCATGGTATTTTAAATAGACAAACCAGTGCATAACTTTTAAACAGGGAAACCAGAGCATACATTTTAAATAGAGAAACCAGTGCACAATGTTTTAAAAAGACAATGCAGTACACGATGTTTTGATAATACAAAATTGAGCATAAGGTTGGAAATAATTCAACTATTACACTGTATCAAAGCTACAAACAGTACAAACTTCTTCAAGTGGACAATTCTGTACAAACTGCTTCAACAAAACGGTTCAGTAAATATACCTCATCAGAAATGAGATCAATATACGTACTACATCAAAATACAACTAGTACATACTTCTTCTAGAGGAAAACCAGTAGGAACTGCTTCAACAAGACAATTAATTACCTCACCAACACGATTAATCAATATACATACTGCATAATAACCATAGACACATAAGGTAAACAAACCAGTATCAATTCTATTTTAACATATTAAAGATATGTATTCAATTGAACTATATTTATGAGAATTTACAGCATGGCTATTATTACTTTACATAGGTCTGATATATATGGATTGTTTTATAGACAAACCTTATGGTGACCACAGTAAAATGGAGCTTAATAAACTAATGTACCACATCATATGCGCTAAAATCTCAAACACAATGTTTTCAGACACTGGATACGGTCATAATACAGTTAACAGCTTTATACCTATTGTTATAGTGTTATTACAGAAATCCTGTGTACCATGTTGTACAACGTTCTAATAGGTTTTCGATGTGTAAATTAAAAAAAAAAATGCTTAAACTCAAAAAAGAATGTAGCTTATACTGAAATGCTCCTTGAGAGTTATTACACTGAGCATTATCATTCAAAATGCTTCCTGTAGTTCCTCTAGTGAAAACATCGCCCTAGCACCCACACCTTATATCTTATACAAATAAATATTCTTTGTTTCGAAGACTTTTGTCTAGGTAAATCTAGTTCATCCTACAGCGATTCATAATTCCAAAATCGAAATATTCTGTTTTCTAGATTTCTTGTTTATGCTACTTTGTTATTATAAACATGTTATTTTGTTTACCGTTTCTTTTCATACTCTTCGCATACGGCATATTAGATATGCATGCAACCTATGGAAGGAAGCGTGTGTATACAACAAACGGCACACCTCATTAAAACAGTAGCCATCTATAGGACTAGATCCGAGGATGTATATTCTATACAAACGTACCCTGCGTTGGTCATTATCTATAGTCTGTAAAAACTCTGATGTATTATTAATGCAAATACGTCTAGCTATCACCGTAATTCTCCTGTTTCCAAAAACATATAAAGTACCCGGCATTAAACACGGCATTTAAAATTACAAGTTATATAAAGCAGCTCATCGTATAAAGTACTCATTAACCTATAAATCTGTTTAACCTAAACCCCAGACCCTTGTTTTATTACAGCAGATTAAAATATCATAAGATTAATAAAATTTGAAATATAACGAGGTAACAGTGTCGTAAATACGTCTTAGTCTGTGCACCATAGTGTCAATATACATCGTACATTAATCTATGCAGGTCTGTATTAAATATCAGCCGAATATTTATGCCGCTACCGTAATAACTGTTACTTGGCCAACATGTGATATCGCTCACATCCTACTCAATGTGTCAAGTGTAGGTCGCACAGTACCGCCTGTAACGTCAGAAAGACAAACATACCGAACACACACGGCAGCTAATGTGATATTTATAGTGCATTTACTGCATAGACACAAACATAACCGAGGTCTAGGCACGTGTGTAGGACCGACCGCGCCCCCTCCCCGCGTCTCGTGTCAGAATCAGAAATGCCCACTACTACCGCATCAACAGCAGCAGTAGCAGCAACAACATTTAGTAAGAGTATTATGGGATGGAAACATGGCTTCCAGCGAGTGCATGTGGATGGACCCTTTTGCCGTCGTTCTCTATGCATAATCATTTGTTAAAAACGCATGAATTTAAGCAGACCAAGAACGGTATTTTTATGAATTACGATGACGAGAATCGCTGGGTTTACCTGTGAATGAAATTGCCTATCATTAATGAATGATTCTCTCTATGGGTTGCCATGCCAACCAGCCTGCCATCTTCCATCAATAAAGAGCCCTAACTCTGCCGGTTGAGAAATAATGGCGACCATTGATTATGGTATGGACAAGAGAGAGTGTTAGCTGTGTGTGTGTTGTGTGTGCGTGTGTGTGTGTCTGTGTACAATGTCACAGCGCCGTGCAGGGCGCGAGACGGCGAGACCGTGTCAGACCACCAATCTTCATATTCAAACAGGAAGTAGCAGGAACTCACATATTCAAACAGGAAATAGCAGGGATTTTCTCATATTCAAAAAGAAATAAATAGCAGATGTTATCATATCCTAACTGGAAATAGCAGAAATTCTCATGTTCAAACAGGAAATAATAGGTCGAAGTTTATTCATGTATTGAATCGTATTACGGGATAGAACTGGAATTTTGACACCAGATAAAACATCACTACAAACAATGATATTACATAAAACTTGTAGCCCGATTTCGTGTACAGACGAACGGATCAAACCATTCAGTGACAGATCATAGATAAATAGTTATTCCGAGATAAAAGTACTATATTGTCAGAGATTTCGTACAGACTTTGACCCGGGACAATGTACTGTATTTCTATCGAACAGACTTTAACCCAGGACAATGTACTGTATTTCTATCGTGCTGACTTTAACCCAGGACAATGTACTGTATTTCTATCGGACGGATATTACACTACAATGTATCGTATCCTAATCACACAGACATCAGTACAGGGCGAGGTTGTAATATGTTGGAAAAGGTGTTTCTGACTTGTATATCATTTCGAATTATATCTGTCGTCAATTACATCTTGATGATAAAATAAGTATACAATTATGCAAACATCCCCTTGTCTTTTAATCGTTTAGTAATTTTCAATCAAATCTGAATTTAAATATACATACAAATGAAATATGACCATGATTTTTTTTATGTCAACTCAATTCTTTAGATTAACAAAAAACCTGTTCACATGTCATTCCAGTTAAAACCTTGCTGTGTTCTACAAACTTGGCTAGGGAGGACGCTTGTAACCAGGAATCCGGTGTTAGTTCTAGCGGAGGCATGACCACTGTTACAGTTATAAGTATATATCGATGCAATATTCCAGAAACGAAAAAAACCCCTATCAATATAAAAACACATAAATGCTATTTTGACATTGTGGCATTTTTCTTATCTCATAAAAAATAGAAAGTGTCAAACTTGAAGATTGGTATACTAAATCAAGAATAAACATTACCTAAAGTATAAAATACATTTTTACATTAGGTATATGATGAAATTTGAAAGCACTGAATTTTGAATCCATGTTTTTCTATGTTCAATACATTATGATTCCAAAATATCTTATCTAATGGATATAATTTATTCTAATTCACTGAATCAAGAAAGTTTGTTTTCCTAGTGACTTCAGAACATGTTTAGTCAAATGAATATACTAACTTCCAATGCACCAATTCCAGAAGACATATTTACCTAATATGTATACTACTAATAAAATCTGGTGCACCAATTTCAGAAGACATATTTATCTAATGTGTATACTACTAATAAAATCCGGTGCACCAGTTTCAGAAGACATATTTACCTAATATGTATACTAATAATAAAATCTGGTGCACCAATTTCAGAAGACATATTTACCTTATATGTATACTAATAATAAAATCTCGTGCACCAATTTCAGAAGACATATTTACCTAATGTGTATACTAATAATAAAATCTCGTGCACCAATTTTAGAAGACATATTTACCTAATATGTATACTAATAATAAAATCTGGTGCACCAATTTCAGAAGACATATTTACCCAATGTGTATACTAATAATACAATCTGATGCACCATTTTCAGAAGACATATTTACTTAATATGTATATTTATAATACAATCTGATGCACCAATTTTAGAAGACATGTTTTACCAACTGTAGATAGCGAACTTTAATACACATATTCAAGAATTAATCGGATAGAAAAAGAATGAAAAGATAGGGCTTCATCAGCAATATGACTAAAAACCACATTTTCTTTTAAAAAATGTTTCAAGACAGAAATAGAAATAAATAGAAGAATAAACATACCACATTCTTCCGTTATGTTATGGTCAGGTCCATGCGTTGATGAATCTTATTAATTTCTACGAAAATTTTGTGAACTCTGTCATGTGACAATTTAATATTTATCACCACATGAACTTGTTATAAACAAGATGTTATCCTTGTATTTCCACTGGACTCCTTAAAATAAGCAAAGAGTGTCTCGTATCTACGGTGACCTCATCGTCGTCAAATTTAGAATTTTATTAATCATAGTGTCATGAAATAGAAATAATTTTGTCAAAATGTGAATCACAGATAATATATATTAATGTAAACATATCTTACAAGTAACAAGTGTAATCATCTGACCAAAATTAATACGTCATATGCAAGAGTAACGTAATGAACTTGATTGCCACTTAAAGTAGGTTTATTTTAGGCCCATTTCAGTAGAAATGGAAATATGAATTATTCATCATTCCTACAATAATTGCAATTAATCGATACCACTCGTAAAATAAATATGATAAATCGTTCATCACTTGTAAAATGAATATGATATTAATATAATAAACAATTCAATATGTTTCATCGATATGAAAAAAAGATACTCAACTAATACAACATGAAAGAAAAGAGTAAAAATAATCAAAATATAAAAAGTTTTCCAAATAGTGGATGCAACATGAGAGGGGTAAAGCTACCATTAAAATTCTAACAAAACTGCTACAGTCTATTACATCAATAAGAAAAATGTTTCAGAATTAAACAATGTTTCTAAAGAAAAATCAGCTGATAGAAAAAGTTAAGTTCAAAAGTGAACTACTAAATACAATGATATCGTGACAATAAGAAAAATAATATATTGACATTTTCAAAGATTCAAGAACATCATGACTTGAAGCTTTGGCACCATAATGTCTTAACGATAGCATAAATTTTGAAACCTAGAAATCAGACGATCATGGCCTAATGGTGATTGGTACAATATCGCCGAGAGAGAGAACCCAAGTGGAGCTCTAAAGAATTACATGAAAACAATACAAATGACCTTGAATAAATGAGTGAGAAAAGTTAAATTCAAATAAAAGCATATAGTTGTCGACAAAGAGTGCCCATTGGTACAAGGTCGGTGAGGAAAACAAATTAAAGGCATTCAAAGTGTTGATGAGGCGTGGGGAGGTTACAATGGTAATACTACCTTTATCTCCTGTAGTCGGAAGGGAAAAATAAAACATCATACATAAGCAATGTTCAGTGGTAGATATGTCTGTAATCATACCCATTGTAGTAATGCTTTCTTATTACAGGTAAATATACTGTCGATAGTGTAGCAGAAATATATCAACTGAGTTCATAAACACAGACTCATCTCAATATTACATCACATTCATTCCAATCCTGATGCCAGGAAAAATACTTTATATCTTTGCATTTTTTGCAAAACCATTTTTCTTCTGGAAAAAGGATGTATTTCATAATATTGTTTCAGTTATTAAATTAGATATCTATATGTCGATCATCCTCTAAACACATGGTTGTTGGTGACAAAATATCGCCAACCCAATCAGGCGTACCTAGTTGATAGTTCAACTTGATCAGTGGTACCTACTTACAATATCTGAAGTATATGCTGATATCACAGATTTCAACACTTGACGTTAACATACTCAGAAATACGTGGCTACGGTGTAACACAGTGATATAAGATCATAAAATGATGTTGTTGATATCAAAACATTACTTATGGGTCACTAAAATAAAGCTAGAATTGGTATTCAGTAAGAACACATCCTATCGTTTTAGTGGCTTACACAAAATTAAACCTGTCTTATAACATACAGAAATGCATTTCTGTGACCAAAAACTGATTTAAAGGGGTATTTGAATGACGGTTTATTAAATAAACAATGTCCCAAATTTGTACTATCGATGTATTCATTGAAATTTACTTTCATAACGAAATGAAATTACTGAATTAAGACACGCATATTTGGTTAGGGCACTAAACAGATGTTGTTATTGTAACATGTTCTAACTAAGATCAGTTCAAACATCATATCATACAATGTTATCTGATGTTAACTGGGAAGTTCTCAAAACCTTACTTCATATCATACAATGTTATCGTGTTGTTAACAGGGAAGTTCTCAAAACCTAAAATCATATCATACAATGGTATCTGATGTTAACTGGGAAGTTCTCAAAACCTTACTTCATATCATACAATGGTATCGTGTTGTTAACAGGGACGTTCTCATAACCTAACTTTATATCACACAATGGTATCGTGTTGTTACAGGGAAGTTCTCAAAACCTTACTTCATATCACACAATGGTATCGTGTTGTAACAGGGAAGTTCTCAAAACCTTACGTCATATCACACAATGGTATCGTGTTGCTACAGGGAAGTTCTCAAAACCTTACTTCATATCACACAATGGTATCGTGTTGTAACAGGGAAGTTCTCAAAACATTACGTCATATCATACAGTTAATAGGGAAGTTCTCATAACCTTACTTTATATCACACAATGGTATCGTGTTGTTACAGGGAAGTTCTCTAAACCTTACTTCATATCATACAATGGTATCGTGTTGTTAACAGGAAAGTTCTCAAAACCTAACTTTATATCACACAATGTTATCGTTTTGTTACAGGGAAGTTCTCAGAACCTAACTTTATATCACACAATGTTATCGTGTTGTTGCAGGGAAGTTCTCAAAACCTTACTTCATATCACACAATGGTATCGTGTTGTTAACAGGGAAGTTCTCAAAACCTAACTTTATATCACACAATGTTATCGTGTTGTTGCAGGGAAGTTCTAAGAACCTAACTTCATATTATACAATGCTATCGTGTTGCAGGAAAGTTCTCAAAATTGGTTTTATAATCCGAACAGAGAACAGTGGCGAAATACAGATTGTTTGTACTTGCTATCAGACCCATAAATCATATTTATCCTCGTAAGGACTTAACGATTAAACATTGTAAAAAAAAAAAATTAAGAGACGAAAAACGATATTTTAGACAGATGATGACCAATGACTCTTGTCTCCCATACATTCAATATGTACTCTTAACACAAACATCAGGAAGTATTAACACAAACATACGAAACATAGGAAGTCTTAAATCATTGTTAGGTCTATGTGAACACTTAATAAAAGCATACGATTTAAAGGACGTCTTACTGTGTATAGAGAAAGTCTTAAAACACTCTCGATTACTGCTTGTCCCGATAAAATCAAGAGGTATATATCTCAGATTCCACAACAATTTTCAAATCTATAGGAAGTTTCAAAACTATAGTATTGTGTTTTTGCCTTAAATTGTCATAAGGGCTATTGGAATGTTTTAACTGATCGCCTTTTCTACAGGAAGACTTCAAGTCATCGATTAGGTCAACAGTAAATCTTAAAACGATGCCCTTCGATCTTTACATCATCATAGACCTCCAGGAAGTCCGATATATATGTCTATAGGAAGTTTGTAAACACTATAGGGGTAATGGCATAAATATCCCCTTCACTGTACAGACGTTCTCGCCTGTGTCTACCATCCCATACCTTAGCGTCTGTATTTTGTATTATGTCGTCGGCTGTTTATAATAGATGATAAGCATTGTCCCATTCTGTTTGATTTATCCTGCTTGTTGACCAAACATATGGTCTGCAGTAATGTATTCCCCTCGGCGTATTATAAACATCAGGTTCCTTCTAACTACCTCTCCCTCCCCATATCACACACACATCCCCCGTGAACTCCCCAGCCAATCCCTTACACACGTGCAGGGCGTTTGGTCTATATGTAGGATCCCCTCAACACACAGAGACTAAATTTGTGGGAGAGTATAGATTCACTCCGTGTAATGCAGCATGTGTATCTATTTTAAAATCTGAGTATCCCTGCAGCAGGACCCAAAAGCCCAGCCCAGTGAGTTATATTTGGTTTGCCTGTTAATGAGATTCTCCGTTGATTCCTATATTCTAGCAGGCAAACGGATGAGTCACTCTCTCCCTACGCCAACAAAATATCGCTGTTCAAAGCATCAGATGTACACAGATCTACTACAGCAACGGATGGACCAAGATACCTGTTTCTTCACTTGTCAGTCAAACACTCTGGGGAACTATGGATACACATCATAGCTAATCAGCTCGACAGATTACACGCATATGTATTGATTATGAGGCAATGATTGTGCTAACGAAAATGACCGGAAACGTTTTATGATCTACCAAACCTTGGACTATTTATTTATGCTAGTACAAACCAAATACTTCTGTAACGAGAGCTGATTGTTCAATATTCACTGTATTATGTTATTATCTATTGAATTTTTTTAAACGTAGAAACAACCTCTTCTTTAATTTTTACTTTCTGATTCAGAATATTTTTAAAGGGATGTGCTAATAATGCTACTGAATTGTCAATTTTGGAGAAAAACATTAAAAAAAACAAAATTTAATGCGAAAAAGAATCTCATTTTGTAAAGTAAAAAGGGACCCCCCATTCCCTCCCTTCCCCATCCCATCCCGTACATTCCTCTAAACCACACCAGATTTCCTTGCCAGTAACTGCATATAATGTATGCCATGATTGTATGATCTGTGATTGATGCCATTTACTCGATTGATGAAAGTAAATATACAGTTGCTGGAGAATTATTACAATAATGTATACAGTTAATAATTAGTTTTCATTACTCTATACTCTCGGGTGTCCACGAGACCATAACGAGATATGTCGGAGCAGACGACAGCCGCTGTTATTATTATGCTTCTGTACCAATGTTTTGTGTATGAAGTTCGAGGGCTAAACACAGTTTCTGTTTTTGTTACAGCTCACAACTTGGTGGGTTTTAAATTAATTTGAAGATAGTTTTAAGGGGAAATATCGTATACTTCGTTTATTTTTATTTTTTCAACTTTATGGTAATAGAATAAGATGTTTCTTTCCGAGCACTGCATAGTTTTTATGATAGATGTTTACCTTTTGTAAATATATGATACTATAAATATATGTAAGCAGCTCTCTTTATCGGAAGGTCTCGTGAAATACTAAAATTATTTTAATTTAGATGAACTAGCAATGAAACTCTCTGGTACTTTGGGATTGTATCATCACTTACGTACAGAAGGTGCACTAAACAATAACTGCACAAAAAATAAAATTTTGATATTTTGTCTTTATAATAATATGTTAAATGCATCCGTAACGTAAAGAGGAGCATTGAGAGTTGTAAGTTAATTGAACGAAAAGACCAGCTAGTAAGCTGTCGCTTCAAAGTCACAGCGTATGTCGTACTGCATACACACGTTTGAGCGATGACAGTATATGTCAACGAAACGTTTGTAATAGTATTATGCAGTTGATGTCGGAAAGTCAACGTCAAACGTCTTGGTGACAGTGTAGGTTAGTCACGTGTCAAAGAGTCTCCTCACCTCTCGTTCGTTATCGCCGTACGGGATGTTGAGTGTGCTCATGGCGCGAACAATGGCGACCAGGGACTGGATAGTGTTACTGTACACCACGGGTTTGTACTGTTTGTTGTCTTCACTTGTAAATCCACCTTCATGGATAATTCTGTGGACAGAAAGAAAAATAAATAAAATCCAACCACAAGTACAAAGTACAGAAAATTACATCAAGTCTAGTATTTGTAGAACTCTTATGACACTGAAACAAAAAGGCCATTGTCACAAAAGAATTAACAAAAGTAATATCCAATTTACCTACGTAGACTTTAATTGTCTATGTGCATAGTCCTAGTATATAGTTCGTACAGAAATCTTTCACATGGGACATAGGATTGGAAAGAAAGCAGATATATTTTGAATACAAACAGAGCATGTCTATCTGAAGCCGGGCTGGAAGAGTGGTTTGTCTTTGTGGACTGCTGGGCATGGAATGTCTCTCCATAGGTGAGATAGGAAGGTTGTAAATGTTTTTATGGTTTTAAAAAAGGGCTGCCCTTGTTTATGGAATTCGGAACCGTGTTTATTTTGGGACACTGAAGTTTGGAAGGATTCGTTCTTGTATGATAACGCAATTACAATATATAATCTTTTTATAAATATAATTCATACATTTGTGGAACAACTAATTAAACCTACCATTGCATTTTGTATCATTTGTTTTATTTGCGCCCGTAGTAATAGCTATTCGGAGAATATTATGTATGTATAGCTTCAGTGTCGTTTGTGCAGCAACCGTGTCGACTGCTCGACTCCGGTTAGCTTGTTACGGAACAAAACGCCTGAAAGCACAGGCTCCTGTTCCAAGCGATCCTGTAATTCGAGCATTGCCTTTGTCATTAACGTATATAATACAACATGCTGTAAGCGTACAATGTTTCAGACAATCAACGTCGACAAGAAAACCTTTACGCTAGCACCATTCCACCCTCTGCCAGGAAATATGTATGCATTATGCATGGGGAAACATATATCACTGATTCTAATACCCGAATACTAGACAGCAGAATGGTTTACTGTGCCAACTGAACAGAGACCATAAAGACATATACCAATAGAAATAGGTCAAGGGGTCAACGTGTTCTCATAGAAAACAGGTCAGAGGTCAATGCTTCCAGTTAATCTCGCCTTGTAGTGACACGACGAGAGTCAAAGGGGTACAGGATAAGAGAGACAATCTGACTCCTGGACGGTGATGGAATTTGTTGTTTAGAGATGAAGATGTAAGTGCATGTCACATCTTCGTTACGTCAACGTCATGAGATAGGCCATTCAGTTCCACACTCAAACTACTCCTCTGCTCACGGAAAGGGTCGAGCACACGGGTCAGAAAAACAATCACATATTTATCTTTGAGATATATATATAGTTTAACAATAGCACCTTTTTTCTCCGGCACAAAAGTCAGAGAAGCTCTTCAGTAGCACGGGGTGTGATATATTGAGCAAGAGAGGGTCAATGGAGGGTTAACAAGAACGACTCTTTGTCAAAGCTCACTTCCATGACATCCGGAGTATATCACCATGCTTGGTCAGTACTCATTGTAGATATTTTCACTGACCTCCTACTTAAGCTTTATTTAAAATACTGATATCTGAGATACGACCGCTAGAAAGGAATGCAGCGTGTACCAACACCATGCCAGTATATGACACCAGCGCGGGGAGACACTTAAACATCTCTCGGATTGTTACTCATACAATAAGTGGGTATTTGAAGATGTGTATTGAAGTTCGGGGTCATTGTAACACGAGATGTTGTTAACAAATTACCAGCCGTGATGAAAGTACAGTACTTTTAACGCCCTCTTTTATGGTAGAATTTGGTATATTTTCATTTACTAAAACTTGTTTGATCTTTTTTTACAGTTAAAACAAGCAATGACATTCAGGTACCTTTTTACTTGGGAGATGTCTGATATAGAGTGGGAAACATCAATGATAAACAAGGCTGGAACTATCAAAGGAATCGTGTGTGAGATGGAGAGTTTGCTATAATTAACCTATTAATGTATATATAAATGTATATGTATATATGTTGAAGTAATACGAGGACTAAGATGATGATACATTTTTATAATGCTGTTACTTGAATGTCAAATACGACATTATTAAGAACATACTTCTCAAAAAATATGATTTAATTTTCACATTTTGTGGGTTTTTTTCCACATGAAATCTCCTAAAGGAGGAAATCAAGACTGTCGGTCCGTATGTCTGTCTGGCTGTCTGTCTCTATCATATTGTTAAACTCAACTGTACATGTACATACACCATGCGTATTTATCAGCACTGACATAGATCTACAGCCTACAGCACCGTCATATACACTTCTGATAAAATAACGGCACCAGATAATGATGACAAAGTGAACGGTACGACAAAATACAGATCGCCATAGATCGCCATTTTGGTATCAGCCTTACACACGTTGCTGATACAAACGCGTGTTTGTGTCAAATGGCCGCCATCCGCGACGTTTTGCCGGCTCCTCACTTGGTTGTAGCGCCAGACCAAATAGACTGCGCGTGGATATGGCGGAGAGGCAAAACACATACGCCCGCCGATCAATAGTTTGCATGTTATATTTTAATTCCAACAATTGATGGAGAGAAGTGCCGGCAAACCGTGTCTGATGGCTGGATGGCAACTCCTCGTATGTAATGCATGTACGTAGCTTTATGTGGCGGGTACACCGCTTGTATTTCCGTGCTCCGTGCCACACGGATCAGTTCGTGGTGGCCATTTCGATCCGCCGTGCTGCCACACTTTGGCAGCATATCATGGTAATGACTGTGTTCTATTTTTAGCACGCAGACAGATTTTTCCGCTGCACGTATGAACACACATGTGTACAGGGAGACAGATGGCACGCGCATGTGCTCTATTTTTAACTACATGTACATTTTAAAAGTTACACATTAATTGATTGATGAATGAATAATTCGTGACGTAACAATCAGCTGCATAGTAATGACATCGACGGTTAATGCAAATATGCAGTAATGTTGTTTGTATAAAAAAAATTGTTAACACTTGATTACCTGATTAGATTGTTACGCAACGATTTCTCATCTGGGTGAAAACCGCGCTAAAGTTGCTGCGTCCGCTACACCATTTATCATACCTGCATAGTATCGTGCAGGGTAGAGAAATCATGTTGCGATCGCAGCTATTTACGAACGATTTTCATACCTGGGTAAGAAATCGTGACGTTACGCGGTCCTTCAGAATCACCGCTGCTATCAAATATATTTCAAGTAAATCTGCGTTGTATTGTGGGTGCCTTTTGTAAACAATGCTGTTTCTTTAGTGATTTTACATGCATCGTATATCCCTTCACAAAATACAACTCCCGCCTGAAAGAGATTTTTGTTTAACGCTACCAATAGAACCAAACCTTTAAGATGTCTTATAGGGCCTGGCATGTAATTTGTATGTATATACCATGCGTGAAGACCTACCAATAAAAATGGCAGGTGGGACACATAATTGTGTCAAATCTGATCTTATTCGTTATTCTCTTTCAGCGCTGATCCAATGTAACGAGAAGTAGACACGTTTAACAAAACCACACATTAAAGATTCCTCAGGTTTTGGCAGTTGCGACGTTTTAGCTTTTTATAGTATGTTGTAGAAAAGTTGCCAACTCCTTTTGGCGGAATCATGTTAAAGTGGTACGTTTGTGTTTTACATCGCTGTATCGTTATCGGTTCGAGGTAATCATCAAAGAAAACGGCACCTCCAGTATCAGATCCTTGTATCAGGTGTGTTCCAGCGCAAAATCTCGTTCAGACGAGATCATCAAATTATCACATGAATATAACTTCAGGAAGTGAAATGTCGTTCAAAATAGATCACGTGGTGACATTACGTTCAAACACATGTAGTTTAAACAAGGTAATAAAACAGCGAGACTACGTTGTGTATAGCTTAACCTTTTATATTAGAGCTGGCACGTGACTGTTGTAGAAGGAACGTTTAATGATGTTTTCATCTGAATATTGGTTCATGCGGTTCTAAACGTGATCTGTCAGTGTTGATAACTTGGATGAATTGGAGGTTATTAAATGAGAGGATTGTTAACTTGGGATATAGTGTTGGTTATTATTTATTTGACCTGGAATTAACGTTACCGTAAAATCCCACAGAGTAACACTCTATACATATAACTGTCACTATTTCTTTACTACCAGACATGAAATAAGTCAGGATTTAAAATGTAGCTGCTCAATTGCATGTTAATTACGTGCAAAACACACGTGTTCTCCTTATCTAAATGTTTCATACAAGTATTCATTTAGGAGTGTAGTTTCTATAAATAAATAGGACAATGTATGATAAAGTACAATTGTTCCCATCTGTAGGACCTGCCTCCCACATCACTACCATTGTTCCCACCTGTAGGACCTACCTTCCACATCACTAACATTGTTCCCACCTATAGGACCTGCCTTCCACATCACTACCATTGTTCCCACCTGTAGGACCTGCCTCCCACATCACTACCATTGTTCCCACCTGTATGACCTGCCTCCCACATCACTACCATTGTTTCCACCTAAAGGACCTGTAAAACACGTCTATACAGGGTTAATCTGTCATACACGTCTATACAGGATTTATCTGTCATACACGTCTATGTTATACACGTCTATACAGAGTGTATATGTCATACACGTATATACAGGGTGTATATGTTATACACGTCTATACAGGGTGTATATGTTATACACGTCTATACAGGGTGTATATGTTATACACGTCTATACAGGGTGTATATGTTATACACGTCTATACAGGGTGTATATGTTATACACGTCTATACAGGGTGTATATGTTATACACGTCTATACAGGGTGTATATGTTATACACGTCTATACAGGGTGTATATGTTATACACGTCTATACAGGGTGTATATGTTATACACGTCTATACAGGGTGTATATGTTATACACGTCTATACAGGGTGTATATGTTATACACGTCTATACAGGGTGTATATGTTATACACGTCTATACAGGGTGTATATGTTATACACGTCTATACAGGGTGTATATGTTATACACGTCTATACAGGGTGTATATGTTATACACGTCTATACAG